CTTGCGGACGTGCTGACATAGGGTTCGCAAAGCTCGCGCGTAAAGAAGCTCACGTTTGAACTAGTGGCTAAGCAAACAAGTACGTGAACTTAGTCTCGCGACGCAGAAGGGTGTAGAGAAAGAAGAGAAGGACAGGTGGTGGCGTGATCTGACACGACCAGAGCGGATTGCGAGTTATAGAAATTCGGGCATAGTCACTTAGACAACGCAAGACATATACTAACATCTACATTTGCAGGCACACAACACAGACTGTTCGACGAGGAGAAGCGACTCATACCCCCATTGAGACAACCGTACTATCATACAGAAACGGGAATGGAATTTCTGATGAGTATGAGTACCCGTTCAACATAATACTCGTTGAGTGTGATCTTCTCTTAGCCAGCTTGCCTTGCTAATACTATGTCGGATCAACATTCAAGATTTATCCAAACTCGAGTACACAAATTTCTCAAACTCGGTCAAGAGCTCGATAGCCTTCTCATCTCCGGTTGGTACAAGCTGAGAGAGATACACCCCGGCGACACCGTTGCTGAGGTCGATCCACTATAGTTTGATGATGAGCCAGAGTCCACATCCACAGTTTGAAGACTTACCCAGTAGCAATTCGGCATGCCCGACCAGGTGAGTGAGTTCACTCCGCGTCGTTTCGGTACTGCAGCGAGGTTGATCAAGCCTCCAATTCCAAAGCTGACAGGGACGTCGTCTGGGATAGTATTCCAGATAGCGTTACGGGACGGCAACGAGTACTCGGCTGGATCGAGGCCTCTGGATGTCTCGATCTGAGGCTGGAACATCTCCTTGACAGACTCGGGCCGGAGCAAGTCCCCTGTCAGGACACCTTGGTATATTTTGAGCAAGTCGTCCACAGTTGCGAACAGACCTCCCCCTCCAAAATCTGCCTCAACCCTGTCCGGCCAGTAAGGCTGCTTCTGTTCCTGCAACCTCTCACCCACTCGCTCCCAGACTTTGGCCTTTCGAGCTCGCGTCTCTTCTCGCTGGTCGGGATGGAAAGTAGCGTCATTGGCAGACACGACGTCGAAAATATGGCGTTGCATGTACTCGCCAAGCTTCATGGAGGTGATTCGTTCGACCAAAACTCCAGCCCAGTCAATGCCAGGCGAATACATCCATCGTTCACCGGATTCAAACACGAGAAAGTGGTGGGGAAACTTTTCTGCCTATAGCGCTTGGTGGTAAGCTAATGGTATTGGCGAGCGGGGTGAGCCAGCTTACGACAGATGTGGGAGGGCCAGGCAGTGGCTTACCCTGAAGCTCTTCGTAGCGGGTCAGGAGCGGATCCATGAATGTATAAGCCATGCCGCTGGAGTGCGTCAACAGTTGCCTGGTCACCAACATAATATGTTAGCAAAACGTGGAAAGCCCTTGGACATATCAAGACTTACCGGAGGGTGATAGCCTTCGTTGCCGGCCTGAAGAGGGCTTCATTCTCTCCATTGAAACCGGTCAGAATCTTCGGATCTTTCCACTCGGGCAGCACTTTGGCGATATCGTCATTCAGGTTTAGTAATCCTCTCTCGACGCATTGCATTACAGCAATCGTAGTCACCAGCTTGGTGGAAGAGGCGAGCCAATGCACACCATTGGACTCAGCGTCGTCGGATTCCTTTTCAAACGCCTTCATGTAGCGGAAAGAACCTTTTGATCACGTCTGGTCAGCAAAGCAGAAACAAAACAAGAGACAGGGAAAGGTGGACTCCTAGGTACCATACCATTTTTGCTGATGGCGCCAAGTGTAACTGGAGGGATAGGCTGCTTGTTTTCCTCAAATCGATGACGAAGAGAATTGAAGGTTTCATCGAAAGAGGTCATGGTTGGAGGATGTTCTCGTGGTAAGAAGAGGGTTTGATTTCTCTTTATCTTCATAAAAAACCGCGTAGTGCTGTCCCGTCTTATACTGTACGTGAACATTATTGGCTTGGCTTCTTGCGCACAGCCCTGGGCGCTGCATAAGTGGCTATTGAATCATTGTGCGGAAGTATGCTAGTAATATTGGCCCGATTACTGATCTAGAGCGGAACAAACCCACGGTCGGCGACATGGGAAGCATGAAATCCATATCAACTTCAGATACACCAGTCCTGACGGACATTGTATTGGTTCTTTGTCCTGACAGCACTAAACGGCGAAACGATCAAGCGGGGCAGAAGGATCACTTCGGTCTAATGACTCACTCCGGAGCTTCTCATGAATCGGGTCAACACACATAACGGCATGATGCTTACGAACCACCTTGGCAGATCGCCACCGCTCATGTCATAGCCGACTTGATGGACAGCATGAACCTAGACCGCGGCTATCTCTTCAATGGTTTCGGGGTTGGAAGAGGTGAACTTGGACTTGTGCCTAGAGACAAACCGGGTTTCGTTAAGGGCGTAATGGTCTGACACAATCAGAGGAGCTGCAAGAGATAGTATTGTTTAGGAATGTGCTCGCTAAGTCTGGCCGTATCTTGGTCTCTACCTCCTGTTCAGCTTCCAGCCTGTATTTACTCTAGACTCATTAGGCAGCAGCCACATCGCTTGCCATCTTCAAGATGGCGTCCTTTTCGCAGAACTCAACCACCTTTTTGATCTTAGATCCATCCTCATTAAAGTACAAGAACCAAGCACCCTCAAAAGGGTACGTCTCTCCACTGCTCCTAACATACACGTCGGATTTAGCTGTGAAGGCCGCGCTGCGCGCCTCCGTGTCGACGATCAAATTCGACATGATGTTATCCTTGAACAACAATACTTTGATGTCATTCCCGAAGAGGTCCTGGAAACTGGTCGTGTCGAAGAACGAGTCTGTTGCAAGACCGAAAGCTTTGGGTACGGATGCGGGAAGTAGGTGACGTGTGCAGTCGGCTGTAACGTCGCGATTGATAATAGAAGGGTTGCTCTGAGCTGCGCCTTCTTCGAATGCTGATAAGAAGGCCCGAGCTGTTGCCTCAATTTGTTCTCTGAGGTTCGGTGTGGAAGGAGTTGAGGCCATGTTGGAGGACTGTGGTAGAGTTTCGTGCGAACTGAAGATGGAGGTGTAGATAGTGGAAAGTATTGGAGATATTGACTGCATATTGGGTTGCACTTGACGCCTACTTATGTTTCGCGCGTACCTAGGTAGCATCAGCGACTGTCTACCTCAAATTCCCGAGGTCGCCAACAGTCCTTCGCGGCGGTACACGTAAGTCCATGACTTAACGCCGTCCTTTGGATGATGCTTATTTAACAAGAATAGATCATATCATCTTGAGTACTGCCTTCCAAGACCTCCGTTGAGGGTCGACATCAGAGTGCGATGACATTTTCTCCCGTTTTGGCCTAGTGCGTTTGAGCCACGGAGGATCTTCGGCCGTACCTGCAGTCTAGCTCTAGCTCCACCCGATGACATTATCACCCTCTTCAGCCTAGCTCGCAGCTTGGGGCCGAAGCATCCACACAGCCCGAATGATGCGTCTCCTTTCAAATTTGCAATTCGAAGGTACCGCACCTGTAAACTAAGCCCAGATTTCGATATGAAGCGGCGGTGTGAGCCTTCACTCAAGCTTATCGCCGAGAAAGCATGTTAAAGCGTACGGTGATTTCTAAGTCGTGTCTTTCTTGAGTAACGCTGTCTACGAATGAGTCCAAGGTGTCGTGTATAGAGGTAGGGTGAGTTGAGTACATAAATGATTCACTTACCTCTCCTTCCGTCCAAACTCAGAACCCAATCCCTCAAGATTTTTTTATATCCAGCTTACGGCATCTACTCAAGTCATATCCACTACCTTTGTCCCTCCCAGCATCCCGCCAACACAAGAATGCCTCGTTACGATGAAGCTCATGCTAAGCCGAATGGCCCTGGCGATGCGCGCCCAACAGCCTTGCAGATCATCAAAGACGAGAACCTTGAGAACAAACTCAAAGGTGAAGTCATTGTCATCACTGGTACCTCCTCTGGCATCGGCATTGAAACCACTCGTGCCCTGGCCACCACTGGCGCCATTCTCTTTCTCACGGCCCGAGACACAAGCAAAGCCCAATCTGCCCTTGCTGGTATCTTCGAACCTTCGCGTATGCACATTGTCGAGATGGACCAGGCAAACCTCTCTTCCGTACGTGCCGCCGCCGCCGCCATTCTTACCAGGACTTCTAAAGTCCATCTACTCGTGAACAATGCCGGCATTATGGCAATTCCCGACTATCGCCTTACGGAAGATGGCCACGAACTTCAATTCGGCACCAACCACCTGTCGCATTTTCTTTTCTACAAGCTTCTAGAGCCCGCTCTTATCGCAGCCGCCTGCTCCAGCCGCCCATCTCGCGTCGTCAGTCTCGCTTCCTCAGCGCACAACGTCTGCGGGATCAACGACTCCAACAACTACAACTTCCAGAAAGACGGTTACGACCCCAGCGTAGCGTATGCCCAGTCAAAAACAGCAAACATATACATGGCCAACGAGATTGAGCGCCGCTATGGCTCGCGCCATCTACACGCCACTAGCGTCCATCCCGGCCTCGTTCAGACGGGGCTGACGCAGCATATGCCCCCGGACGCATTCAAAGGTATGGAACATTTGTATCCAACCATGAAGAGCGTCGAACAGGGTGCTGCAACATCGGTATGGGCAGCGATCAGCGAAACATGGAAGCACAAGGGCGGCAAGTACCTCGTCGACTGCGCTGTTGCGGAGCCATACAAAGAAGGCGATGACAAGTACACTGCGCTTGGTTATGCTCCGCATGCTTACGATGTGGAAAAGGCGGAGAGGCTGTGGAACGACTCGCTCAAGCTTGTGGGATTGCCGAGTGACGAGTGAGCGTTCAGAAAGGGACAGCAGTGATAACCCAGTGTACAATTAGACACATGATACAAGTTCTATGAATACATCCATACGCATTAGCACACCGTACTTGATCTTATCACCGGCCATAGTTCTTATCGTGAAATCGTGATATCGGATATTGTACTGGTAGATCATGCTCGATTCGCGTTGGGCGTGTTCGACGTATCGACTAATTTTCCATTAGAGGAATGCGCAAAGGTTCCTCTCCCCTCATCAACCTCCAGCGGTTACTAGAAACAAGCAGGTCGTCGCATCCCTGTACAGCCCACGACCACTTAGCCAGAAAGCCAGGGGTAGCCTCCCAGCTCTTCATGTCGTACGGCTCACCCCAAACAATGAGTCCCTTGCGACCTGCAGTAACCTCATCCTCATCACGTCCCACTACTGCGGTCGGCGGTGTCGACACAACCTTAGGGTCAGACACAGTGATAGCAAGAGGCGTACCTCGTCGCTCTTGCATTGGCGTAGCACCCATGAGCTCGCCAATGAGATCCTGCAGTAGCTCCCAGTGATCGAAGAGGCCCTCATGCCTGATGAGGTTGTCGCGCACTGAAGGAAAAGGAAAGAGGTTGATCCAGAAAGAGTGCAAACGCTCTTGCTGGATGCGAGTCGGGAAGAGTGAAGGAGGTATATTGGGATTCAAGGGATAGATGTTTGTGTCGTCGATGTAGGGAAGGCTGATGGGACAAGTGGTTGGGGAAGGAGGCATCTCGTATGTCCACCCTGTAAGAAGCGCGTTTAGAGTACGCTTGTTTGAGACAAAGGCTCGGAAGACGTTGTATTGTACTAGGTGAAGGAGGTGGTCCGTAGAGAGGGGAAAGACCATGGACGGGGGTGTTAGCGTAGTGGGAGCTTGACCCGGGGTGTATGGAGGCGGCGTCCGGAGGACTACAGAGCGATCAGGAATGGATATCGATGCGTTGATCGTCACATCTTGAGCAGTGGGCTCTGTGGAATGGGATGGGCTTTCTTCAACTTCATCCAGGCGCCAGCGCTCAATTTGGAACGGGCGCGACGTCTGAACAGAAACTGGGTCTTGCTTTTTGTTTCGCAGTCCTTTATCGAGATGAGCTCAGCAAGGGCGAGATGCTTAAGACCAAACTCACGATGTGCCCTTTGGTTCTTTCGGTTCTGAACTTTCCTGCGCTGCTTGTTGGCCTCGGCTTCGATGTTGGTGGGTTGATACTCGACCCTGTTCGCTTCGCTTTCGGCTGGAGGAAGTAGGGTGACGAAGTGGTCCATGATTAAGCGTTAAGAACAGCCCGTCTTCTGTTGATGGTCGGTTGGTTGATTCCTACACGGTTACAGCCGCGAATTCCGCAGCTATGCCCTGTTGACAGGCGTGGCGGTGCGGAGATTGATCCGCGCCGCCCCACTTCATTCGGGCAGCCTCAACCTCGAGAGAGGAGATCGGTTCAACAGCTTCCACTTTGAGCAGGACACTCTTATGTTGAGACGCGCCGCCAGATCATCAAGGATGACCCCAACGTCAATACACCAAAGAAGCCACCATAGATCAAGATCACAAGAGCCGTATTCGTTGTTGCGTATGTGATAAACGACAAAGGCATCGAGGAGATGGACCTCGACATGGAGCAACTGTGGGAGGAACTGTTGGTCCAATGTTCACCACGCAAATTTCTGACTGCGCGTATGCGATCTGCTCTACGTTCGTAGAAATCTTTTGAATTAAGATGTCTAGCGCATATACACTTAGCAAACGGGAGAGACTTCAGACGAAACATAACCTTGTCAAGAATTACCGACGGACCGCAGATGCATGAAGCATGACATCAGAATTGTGATAAATGGCCACATATTTGCCAGGTTGGTCACCTCAACACAGTTTGTGTGGTAATCGTCGAATATTGTGCTTTTTGTAACCCTTGTAGGATTTGGCAATCAAAGGTGCCCGTGACACCTTGATAAGTTTATCGCACACCGGCAGCCATGAAATGCCGTGTTCAGTGGCGGTTCACGTGCAGGAGCAACTAGATTACAGGCCGGTAAGCCCCCATCTCCTGGTAACGACCATGACTGGTGTTGCCACGGTGCGGGAACGCGGGCGCAATGTCGAACGTCTGGGGGATCTGCGATGGGGCAGATGCTAATCGCACATCAACGACTGCAAGAGCCGCACTGTGTAGCAAGATTAAGATGAAACGAGTGTAGTGACGCATGCGACAGGCACTTCACCGATGTTCCCTTGCCAACTCGCATTGGTTTCATCCGGGGTGTGCTGACGATAAATGCCTGATCCGAAGAGGAACGCGAAACGGACGGCTACGGGTGTCCGGATAAGCCCATGTGGAGCAGTTGAACTGGATTCTAGCAAGAACCCAAGATCACACCACTGGTTATTTCGCTATCGAGGCAAAGATTCGGTATTCATGCTGTAAAGAGTGGAACGAAGCGTGGTGCGGTAACGATGAGTTCTGCAAATGCCGACTTCCTGTAAAAGCCCTCGTGTGTTGCACACCAAACTTGTGGTAAACGAAGGATGAACGCGTGGAGGGGATCATGCACGTCAGCGGAAGATGTAACCTGATTAGATTAACATGATGAGCAATCGAAACTGATACGCTGCGGTTTAGGGCTGGCAGATACGTAGCCGAGCTGGATCGGTACGGTTCTGGTACTTGGGATCACACCTCGCGTAAATGCGACGGCATGAGTGAGGCTTTTGATTGACTGTCGTGGAACATGGACAAATGAAATCACATCATCGCGGTCAGAGTCCAGAACAAAAGCAACCAACAACGGCTGATACTACCCAAACTACCCCCAACATGCCGGCAGAGGTAGGGTTGGGTGTCATTAGAGTTGACGGGTTTGCCGAAGCAGCACGAAGCAAAGATCCGGGCAAGGAGTTAGTGCCCCTTACGTATGAGTAGTGGTTGCATTATAGATGACATCCGTCTTCAGCCGCGGACGAGAGCACATGTTAGGGATGGGCCGAAGTATCAACAAAGTGGTGTGACTTGGCAGAGCGGCCGAGCCACTGTCGCGGGCCCGAGGCGTGGAGGTTAGGATGACGCAGCGATGTGCGACACAGGAGAAATCGGTGGCTGGTTTTCAGGCTTACCGGTCTTGAGACCAGGGACGATATGCGTCTCGGCTCGAAGAGCCAGGTTCCCAGTCCAGCTTGAGCATTTCCTTTGTTTTGTACAGTTTTTCCCGTGCGAAGCAGGGTCTGACGATCACAAGCTTGGACGTCGAAGTGGAGGCTGGGTCTGACTTTGGCCCACTTGCATCTGCATTCTGTTATGCTTACGCTACAGCTGATGTGACGGCGGTGCACATATGCAGGTCTGAAGAGAAGGGAAGAAATGAGGTTCGCTCACCTGGTACTCCATGACATTGAGCTATCCAGATCATGCTGGATGGGTTGAGACGGAGGCGAGACAGGAACTGGGCCAATAGACGTAGGAGGCGGCTTTTAGTCGAGCGCGTCCAGACGTTGAAGGCTATGGAAGGTAGCTGCGCAAACGACTCCTTGTTCGATGCGGAGCGTTCTGCTGGGAATTGCTGGGAATCGCTGTGGTGGGTTCAGAAGCTAGAGCTCGTTCAGAGTTTGGCGCCTACAGCCCCGACGGATCATCCGTCTGGGGGCACTGGGCGCAATTTCGACGGGGCGCCAATCACCCGCGATATGCCAGCTTAGCTGACGCCTGCAGTTGGCTATACACCAAATTGTCCGATTGTTTTTTAGATCGCGTGAATTGTGATTTGTCTGAACCAGGAAATTCGATATCGCAGCGCGTGTGAGGAGAAGATGGATAGTCCCGGGCGGCGCGGAGGCTGGAAATGCACGTGCCTTCTCCACGAGCGTCACGGGTCGGGTTAGCCTCGGGCTCTTGCATCTCAACCCCGCTCGAGTGGCCTACACTCTGCCATCATTCAGTATCAACGTGAAAACTCGAGAATGAAATGGGGAGAGACAGATACGCGCACTCATCTGTGTCGTTCCGTCTGGGAAGCGGCATACCGTCTCGTCGTGACGTAGAGAGATGCCGTGTGTGGCTGCCTTAGACTCACCAGGTATTAAGCGGGTCCCTGCTCGCTTAGCGCGTTGGGCAGGCACGAATAGAAAGCGTCCTCAGCGCCTGCCCTCGTTCCTTCCTCGACGAATCATTTTTCCCTCACTAAAGTTCGCCATCTTCATCTCACTCAAGACGTGTTTGCGCGGACTGGCGCGCGGAACACCACAAGAATACACCCTAGCTTCTCCGCCGCTCCCAAGGTTGCTTTGCCTCCAAAAGGCACCGCCTGCTCTCGGCTCTCAGCAATTCGTCAGGCCGGACTCAAGACCTGTCTGCATCTCCCACCTGGGCAGCCATAGAACGGCAAGCAGATCACGGGATCCAATCTTCCTGCAAGACGCAAGCACCTGTAAGTCTACTCCGTCGCGCTATGCAACTCGTTATCACCATGCCCGACGATCAAGTCCTTTCAAGCGACGGCGCATCGCTTCAGACACTCCCGTCGCCGTCGCAAGACTGTATTACCGTCCCTCGCTATGCTTCTCATTTTCCTTTTCGGCTTACAGGCATGCCGCATGCTCTGGTGCTACACATTCGCGCGCCTTGCCTCCACTTCACATGCTAGAGGCTGACGTCGCATTCAAGGCAACACAAAGCTCACCAAGCCTTTTGTATCCCGCGTTCTGTCCGCTACTTGGACCACGCCGCTGCTAAAGCTGTCATTGCGCAACGACAATATACATTTGTCCGCTCGCTGGTCGCCCTAGACTTCAAACCCGAAGAGCATTCAGACCGGCAATACGACCTTGACGCCCGCCAACTGACGAAACAAGGTAAGCGCACTAGCTCACCGCGCATGCATATGCCAGCGCATCATCCCTTCCAATCGCCCACCCCGCCAGCACAGCGTCCAATGCTCTCTTGATTTGGCTGACAATCATTGTAGGCGACTCTCATCTTCCTCTCGTGACTGGTGAATACCTGCAACGGCTCTTCCCCACTACTACGGCGCGGGCCTCTAGAGTGCAGCTTCATCCTCGACAAATCGCTCCATCATTTGTAAACGCGCACTGCCCCTCGACGTCCAATCACCACTGCTGCGCCTCAAACCTGGAAGCTAAAGCCGTGCGCTCTAGCGAATTCGCCTCAAGCACGCCTGGCCATTGACAGCGCATCAAGTATCGGCCCTGCCGCGACGTGACCGCCTGCCTGTATTACGCGCCTCAACTGCGAGCCTCTCGCTACCTCGTCTTCACGCAAATAGGCCCACAATCTACGCATTGTAGACAGCCATGACCGACTACGCACAATTCCACGGGCATGCGCCCGCGCCCAACCCGCAGCAAATGCAGTTCGGACAGCAGCAGTCGTCCCCAATCCTTCCATCGAATGGAAACTTCGCGCATAACGGCCAACCACATCCCCAGCACCACCCGCAGATGGGCTTCCCTCAGCATCAGGCCTACATGGCTGGTATGCAAAATCCATACATGCCCTCTCAACAGCAACAACATCAACAGGCTGCTGCGTTAGCTACGGCTGCAGCAGCAGGACCAGCCGGATACTACGATCAAACCGCCATCTCAGGTCAGCTAGCACAAGACCCACGCGCATCTCCACGCATGTCAGTATCCCAGATGAAGGGGGATGGACGCGCTCCACGATCGCCGACAAACGTTTCCAATGCGATGAACAACGCGCTCCCATCTCAAGTTCAGATGACCCCGACTCAGATGCAACAAAGGCGAATGAGCACTCAAATCAGTAGTCCTGCGATGCAGCAGCCACAGCCTGTCATGAACCATGGCGGCCCCAGACCCTCCGTCCCTCCGATGCCCCAGCAATCGCAGCACCAACAATCGCCTGAGCTTGTCGCTGGAGGTGCACAACCAGAAGAGGCGCCACTCTATGTCAACGCGAAACAATTCCATCGCATCTTGAAAAGGCGTCTCGCGCGACAGAAACTCGAGGATGCACTGAGGCTGACATCCAAGGGTCGAAAGCCATACCTACACGAGTCTAGGCACAATCACGCCATGCGCCGTCCCCGTGGTCCTGGCGGTCGCTTCTTGACCGCAGAAGAGGTGGCTGCGATGGACAACGCAGCCGGAAAAGGCGAGGGTGAAGACGGCAACAAGGAAAACGCGTCCATGCCTCCCAAGCCTGCCAGCTCTGGCCCCAAGCGCAAGGCATCATCTACACAACTCAAGGGAACACCTACCATCAAGAAGAACAAGGCAGGTGCCGTGCAGCGTCACAGCACGAGCGAAGAGGATGAAGATGAGGACGAAGACGATGGTGAGGATGAAGGCTAAGCTCTCCTCCCGCCCGGGCCTCTGCCCACTCCCGTCGATCTGATTTCTATACCCTTTTAATTTCGACACCTGATCTTCTTGAGAGTTCCTCCAAGGAGCTCCCCTTCATTTCACGACTTACGAAGCGAGTGCTTTTGGGACACCCGGTTGGTTTATGCATTTTACCCCTGTTGTCAGATTAATGACACTTTCACACACAAATTGTCTTATCAATGGACTGGGTCGGATTCGGGTCACACATAAGGCAGGGCGGTCGGAGCATACGGCACTCACTCGGATGTTGGGAGTTCTGTTGTTACTTCCTATTTCTCGTCTGCTGAATTGTGGACTATCCTTTGTATCTTTTCATTATCTTTTTTTCTTCTTCTTGTCTTGTCTGTTACGATCAATACCCACACTCGCTATCTAGCTTGGCGAAGATACCCAAACCACTGGCCAGGAGAGTCAGTGGCTATACTAGAAAGGGTCTTCCTTCATCGGAGAAAATCAATATCATCCCGTTCCCCCAGATTGGATTTTACGAATGCAAACTGATGTCGCATCCTTGAAGTTCAAGTTGTACGTGACAGGCCACCTCACCAATTCCATGTATGACTTTGTGGTATATCACATTGTGCGTGAAACCGACCTGTCAGGATCGAGTTGTGTTCTCGGGAGGTGTGTGATGTGTATCACAGTCGCATGGCAAGGTCCGATGTTCGCTCAGAGACTGCAGGCGTCTTCTTGTTTACGGCATCTGGACAGCATATACCGGCTTACCCAAGACTAGGGCTCTGTCTTGCTCACTGCACATGTGGAGCTACGCCACTAGCGGTGTCTACAACTTGTGTGACATTCAGGAAGATGGCTGACTGAAAGTATACAATATCTGGGAAACAACTTACTTACTAAAAACATAACAGTGTGCATGCAGCAAGCCTTGGAATTGCGACACAAATCCTGGCCACCCCCGATGATGCCTGCTTTTCTGCATGTCAAGTCCATCTATTCGCAACGTCAGCCTCTCGCCAGACTCGGACGGCGCTTTAACATGCCTGACGACATGTGCGACAAGTAAGTCTATGATAGCCGCATGCAGATCTCCACATCAGCGGCTTGGTCATTGCTAAGTAATCTGCTGCGGAATTATCGTGCGGAACCGCGCCTCGGTAAGCCACGGAGCCCTGGAGATCTGCACCTGGGAAAGTGCGGAGCTTCTGCAGCCGGATATGTACACCAATTTGGATTGTGCTACGATAAGCACGTTCTGGCTCTTTCCACAGGCGACCTACATGATGAGCTTTTCGTCGCAGACTCCTGCTACCCCTCATCCCTCCCAATCGCGAGAACATGAAGAAGAGTGCATCCAGCCAACAGTCAGCGGACGAGTCCATCCGAGAATTACACGACCAACAGCATGATGAGCTTGACGATGGAGAAAGAGATAGGATTGAAGAAGAGTGGCGCAACAGTATCCGCCTAAAGGTCGACCTTCGACTTTGCAGCATTGCTGGTATCTTGTGCTCGCTCAATCTACTTGACAGCGGCGTCATCTCTAGCGCATCTGTCACCTCCATGCTCAGCGATCTGGAACTAAATGTCGGCAACCGATACTCTGTTTCCATATTTATCTTCACGATCGCGAGCATTGCCTTCCAGCTACCATCGACAATCGCTGTGCGCACCTTCGGACCGCGTATCTGGTTTGCCTTCATCACCTTCTGCTTCGGTATCATCACACTGTGCACAGCTTTCGTGCAGACATGGCGACAGATGATCGCGCTTCGCATTTTGCTTGGAATAGCTATGTCGGGAATTTATCCCGGCTTGACGTATCTCATCTCAACATGGTATACACGGAAAGAGCAACAGCTTCGCTTTGCTCTGATGCAGAGTGGCGAAGTCATTGTCTTGGCAACAGGTGGCATCGTTAATTTTGGACTCAACCAGCTTGACGGCACATATCTCAAGGGTTGGCAGTGGATGTTCGTTGTGCAAGGGAGCATTACTGCGTTCTTCGGAATTCTGACATATTGGTGGATGGTCGACTTCCCGGAGCATGCCCAAAACTCCTTCTACTTCCTCACGCCTCACGAAAGTGCGTTGGCGTCTTCTCGAATCGACAACGACAGGGGCGATGTCAAACCCGACGACTTCGCATGGTCCAAAGTCTTCGTTCACGCCAAGGATCTGAAGGTGTACGGTTTCTGCACCCTTTACTTCCTGCAGAACCTCGTCTCGACATCGCTATCTTACTTCCTACCTATCATTTTGCAAACCGGCATGGGCTTTTCTTCAAACAAGGCGATTTTGCTATCCGCACCACCTTACTACTACGCTGTTATTCCAGCTATCCTGTCCTCGATCGTCGGCGACAAGTTCCAGTTGAGAGGGCCTATTATAGTCTTCAATTGCGTGTCTTTGATCGTGGGTTTCTGTATGCTGGGTTTCTCGGACCAGGTCACCGTCAGGTACATTGGCACCTACCTTGCTACCGGAGCGTACGTGGCGAATTGGGCGGCCATGGCAACTTATCAGGCGAACAACATTGTCGGCCAGTGGAAGAGGGTTTTTACTGCTGCCATGGTCACAGCCTTCAACGGCGCTGGCGGTATTGCTGGAAGCTTCATTGTGAGAGCACCAGAAAGTCCGAGGTATATGACGGCCATCTGGGTCAGCATAGGAAGTCACATGTTGATCATTGGATTGGTGGGAGTGTTCTCGGTGTTTTTCTACATGGCGAACAAGCGGCAGACTAGGGGGAAGCGTCTCCTAGAGGGAACAGAAGGTTTCCGGTTTACGTACTGAGTGAAGGGCGGAATGTGGTTGAGCTAAGGCAGACGCTAAGAAATATCTACTCTACCAATACCTCGTGATGCCTGGTTCTGGTTGAGTTCATGTAGTCTTTTGAACTTGTCATGCAGGTAGTCGTCCGCCGGCATGCTTGACAAGTCGCAGGAACATGGTATGAAAGCGGGTTGACGTCGTCGGTGGGGACGACCGTATGGGACAGTTGGCTCGTGCTGAGTCCTCACTTGCATCGTCGACCCAACTCGCAGCTGCCTCACCACTTCCGCTGCTACAGCACGAGCGATCCCGCAGTCCCGGCCTACCGCCCTAAGCAACCCGTTCTATTCTAATCTCGCTGTTTTCTGCTTCTCCAGCTGCTGGCGCCGACCTGGTAGCGTCACGCAGCTTCCCCCTGTCCAGCTGGCCCCTCGACCGGGCAACAGCACCCCCGTGGCCCTCCGCCGAGCTTATGCGCATCGACGCCGGCCGTACACACATTCAGTAATCTACTTCACCACACCATACACGCTTTTTGAGACTGCGCCGCACGTGTAGCCGCCACAATGGTGTTCCTCGGCATATATCGCGCCATCTACGACTATGAGCCCCAGAGCGACAATGAGATCGCCCTGAACGAGGGCGACATCTTGATGGTGCTGGAGAAGTCGACCATCGACGCCTGGTGGAAAGCAAAGAAGAAGGGGCGCGATGGCGACGAGGAAGAGCCCGAGGGCTTGATCCCGAACAATTACATTGAAGAGGTATGCTGCGCCTCACCCCGATGACAGCCCAATCCGCGTCGCAAACCATGCCCAACGCTGCACCAGGCATTGTGTGGAATGCTGCAGCATAGAGACTGATGATACCTATAGGCCGCCCCAGTCGCGCAAGCCAAAGCCCTCTTCGATTACGACCGCCAGACGGACGAGGAGCTCTCGTTCAAAGAGGACGCCGTCCTAGACGTTTACGATACCACCGACCCGGACTGGACACTGGTGGGAGTCGCAGACGACTATGGCTTTGCGCCCGCGAACTACATCGAGCTCACTGAAGAGGGAGCAGCAGGAGGAGCACCAGCTGCGCCATCTCCCGCGCTGCCTAGTCGCCCGCCCATGCCACCAGCGACCGACTCTTTCGATGACGATCAGCCGCCTACTCCAGACACTCCTCCACAACCGAGTCCCGCTGCGGCTCTGGCTGGCATCATACAGAAGAAGTCGCAAGAGGCAGCACCGCGATCGACTATTTCTCCTCCGCCCAACGTAAGCGCGCCTCCACGACAGCAACGACGCGTGCAATTTACCCCGGAAGAGTCGGACGAAGAAGCGCCAGCACCTCGTCTTCCCCAGCGGCCCGAGTCCGAAGTCTACTCACCTCCGCCTACCCAATACGCACACGCGCGATCCCCATCTCCCCCAGTCAGATCGCCACCGCCCCGAAGCGTCACGTTCGACCAATATGATCCTCCGAGCAGGGACGAGCAGCCCGCGACACCCATGTCGGGGTCGGGATACCATCTGTACAACATCTACGAGTACATTACACAGCCGGGCAAGAATAAGAAAATGCCAATCACCTTGGGTGTCAACATCCCGAAAGGAATGATCATGATTGCACCCGAGAAGTCGCGCGACGGGCCGCAACAGGAATGGAGCGCTGACAAGATGGAGTACTACTCGCAAGAAGGCAAACACATATTCATGGAGCTGAAGCAGCCAAGCAAGAGTGTCGACTTCCACTGTGGTGCTAAAGACACCGCATCAGAGATCATGCTCGCCCTTGGTGAGCTTGCAGGAGCGGCCAAGAGCGCAGGACTCCGCGAGGTACTCGCTGCTGGCTCCGGAAACTCTAACGTGCAGAAGAAGGGAGTTATGCTTTTTGACTTCATGGCACAGGGTGATGACGAAGTTACCGTTGGTCTCGGCGACGAGATCTTAGTCCTCGACGATTCCGCAAGTGACGAGTGGTGGAAAGTCAGGCGGCTGAAGAACGGCAAAGAGGGTGTGGTACCAGCTAATTACGTCGAGGTCACAGAAACCGTCCCCATACACGCTCCCGCAGCTGCCATCGCTCGATCGGGAACCAACGCTGGCCGATCCGTCGTCGAACAGAATAGGCGGGAGGAGGAAGAGCTTGCTCGTCAGGCTGCGAGACGGAAGAAGCCAGAAAGTGAGGCAAGGAACGATCAGGTAGGCCCTGGCCTGCACTTGCCTTCGCGTAACTCTAGTCTTATGCAAACAAACGTTGACCATCGTCGTACTTCACAGAGATCAAGCAAGCGCGAAAGCTCCGCAAAGGACTCGAGCTCAAAGTCCGGCTCCAAACCAAGTCAGTATACAGCAATTTCACTACTTGAGTTTCTTGATCTGTCTACTGAAAAGGGTTCTGCGCCGTTCGTGGGCGCCGAACATCTACCTAGTGGGACAACAGAACACGTATTGTGTACAAAGATGCTGACCAAATTTTTTAGATTCCGCCAAGGTACGCACTTGGACCGACCGATCCGGATCGTTCAAGGTCGAGGCAGAGTTCATTCTCATCAAGGATGGCAAGATCCACCTCCACAAAGTCAATGGCGTCAAGATCGCTGTACCTGTCACAAAGATGTCAGTAGAAGACCTCGAGTACGTCGAACGCGTCACAGGCGAGTCTCTAGATGACGACAAACCCCTATCGGATTTGAAGAGGAGGAGCATGCAACAGCCTCGCGGGAAGGACTCCGGTCCAACCGGTATTTCCGTCGAAAAGAAGCCAGAGTACGACTGGTTCGACTTCTTCCTCAAGTGTGGTGTCAACCCACAGATCTGCGAACGATACGCCAGGGCATTTACTAAGGACGAAATGACGGAAGAAAATATCCCAGACATCACTCCTGGGCTTCTACGTACATTGGGTCTCAAGGAAGGTGACATTCTCCGTGTGACCAAGCACTTGGACGCGCAGTTCGGAAGAGACAAGCGAAGTGTTAGCTTCGCTGAGGAAGGAGGAGAGGGAGCTTCTGGTGGACTGTTCTCAGGTCCCGGAGGTGCACTGAGAAACAACACCCGGAAGGGACGTCCTGCACCACCGGTTGAGACAAACGATGTCGTTGATCCAAAGGCGTTTGAACCGAAGTCCGACGACACCGTTAAGAAGCCCGCAGACGGGACGTCAGCAGCGACATCTGACAAGACAGCGAATGGGTTTGACGACAATGCGTGGGATGTCAAGCCGTCCAAGTCAACATCTGACAAGCCTGCATCTCCACCTGCAGCACAAGCCCCTGCTGCAAAACCACCCCAGCTGACTGGATCCATGAACGATTTGTCTCTTCTAGACATGCCTGCACTCAAGCCTGACGAGATCGCGCAGCCAACGCCTCCTGCTCCGGCACCTCAGCCAGCACAAGCACCTGCTCAACAGCCTCCAGCACCCGCTCAGCAACCACAGCCAACAGGCGCTACTCCTACCCTTTTCGAGCAGGTTGCAGCTATCAAGGCCCTTACCCAACCTCACAACATGGCTCCACCGCGCATGCGCCCACAAGCTCCCCAGCAGCAGGGTCCTGGAGGTCTCATCGCCCCACCGCCGCAGCGTTCTTCCTCTGCCCCTATGAACCCACAACAAAGTGCTTTCGGTCCCCCACCACCCCTACAACCTCAGCTCACAGGTTACAACCCCAACCTCATGGGTCAAAACTCTGGACAAGGCCAAGGCATGCAGGGTATGCCACCAATGCAACAGCAAATGACAGGCTTCCCACAGCAAAATGGCGGTTTCGGATTCCAGCAGAACGGCATGATGCCTCAACCTACAGGCTACAACCCCATGTCCCCACCCCAGCAGCAGCCAATGCAGACTGGCTTCGCCCAATACCAACAACAGCAGCCGACTGGCTTCCAGCAGCCCATGCAGACAGGTTTCCAGCAGCAACAGCAGCCACACTTCACACAAGGCTTCGGGAATGGCAGCCCTTTTGCCGACCCACCACGGGCACCTTTCCAGCCACTACAGGCTCAGCCTACGGGGTACAACTCGTTCCAACCATCGCCGCTTAACCCCCAGGCGACTGGCGTCAACCGCTTCCTGCCCCCGGCCCTTGCGCCACAGCCGACTGGCTACATGTCGAACCAAAGCCCGCCGCCTGTCCCTCCCATGCCGCCAATGCCCCAGGCGCAGCCTTTGGTGCCCCAGAAGACGGGGCCACCACCGACCATCAAGTTTGGTGTACAGCCCGCGAAGAAGCTAACGCCCCAGCCGACGGGGAGGGCAAACCTTGCCAACGCTAGTAAGTGTTCGAAAACATATCTATGCAAGACCTCTCTAACCGTTGACCAGCACCCCAAAACCCGTTCGGCTTCTAACCTCGCTCGCGGTGGCTGTTTGTTCTTTCGCACCCCTTTGCTTACCTATGGGGCATCCACTTAATTACCCTGATACTGTATATGTACATAAGTTCTACCGTGCCTGTTTGTTGTTTGGCGGAGTGGGTTCGTAAGGCTCGATAGCATTCTTCATCAAGCCACATAGCATTTGCTTGCACTTAGTACTCCCAATTACCTGCTTCGCATTGCCCTCATTGCTAGCATTTTGCCCTCTGTAGCCATTTCTTCAAATTGAGTGAACCTTTAGTTCAGATGTTGACGTGGTACTATCGGTCCGGTAATGGTGTGGTCTAGACTGCGGCTGACATGCGTGGCGTGATGGCTGAGTTACTCAGTGAGGATTGGCTGGGAGATGATGTCTCGAAAATACGTGAACTTTTGGACGTCAACCAACCTTGGAGTACCTCTAACGAGGCACTGCGATAACGGACATTGCACGTGTTACATATGCAGGACGAATTACCCCTGTTCTCGAGCTGTCGTTCACCCTTGGCGCGAGGCAGATGCGAGACCAAGCCTTTGCCAAGTAAAGCTTAGCCTGACACATCAGGTGGCACGATATCCCTGCGATGCATGTGTGGCTGGCTAGCCAGCAGGCCGATTCGATGTCGTATCCACGCAAAACCGCGCACGCGTCTGTGGCTCTGCTCATCGAGTGATGCCAGACCTTGCACCCACCGTAAAGTACGTGGATAGACCTCGGCCAACTACATTATCATCGCAGCTTCGGCCATAACTCAGCCACGCCTTGAAATCCCCCGACATCGCGTTGGCACTGTCAAAAAGCATGACAAGCATCTGTGGCGATGACGAAAGCCCACAGCATGTCTCGCGCCCCCGGCTTATTTGCGCCAATAGCCTGGCGCACAGCCGGGCAGCGAATGTGGCTCAGGCTAACTAGCCCAATAGACCGGCCGAGTGATGCGTTGCCCTGTCCGCGTGAGAAAGAGGGCGCGAACGAGCGCGCTGCAGATTAAAGGCGGCGCATCCCCTCCCCGGACTGTAAGAAGGGTCCACTGTATTTCCTCCAGCCGTATACTCAACCTACTCCTGACTCTACTTTGATCGTTGCGCAGCGACTCTGAACGGTGACGCGGGTTTTTCACAAGCGAGAAATTAAGATTCGGACGGCTTCTCGGCGAAAGCTTGGTTTGGGGATACGAGACTCGGTTGCGCGACTGCTGCTTGCCTGATTCACCATTACCGGCTGCCTTTGTCTTACCTCCATCATCGACGAACGAACGAGCAATTTTGCGAGCACGCATCGAATCAATCACGAGCGCGACTCTTGATCCGCACTTCCCATTCTTACAAACATCTCAAAGGCCGTTTTAAATCAACATGTCGAACCAAGGCTACTACCAAGGCGGGCCTCAGCCTCAGTACCCACAGCAAAGGTACGCTTCCCACGACCGTCTACAAGCACGAGCGATATCGCGCAAAGCCGCGCGCACACCCAATCTCCCCTGCGATCGCAAAAGACACATACGTAGTGGTAGAGTGAACAAGTGCTAACTTCATCACAGCTACGGTCCCCCAGGCGGCGGCTACGGCCAACCCCAACAATACGGCGCTCCACCACCACAACAGCAGATGTACTACGGTCCCCCGCAAGGACAATACCAACAGGCGCCACCACAACCAAAGCAGAAGAAGGACAGAGGATGCTTGGCCGCTTGGTAAGTGGGCACGATATACTCGGGGCTTGTACTTTGGCTAACGGAAGACTAGTCTGGCGACACTGTGCTGTTGTTTCGTGTGCGAAGAGGGTTGCGAGTGCTGCGCTGATTGCTGCGAGTGTGCGGCGGAGTGCTGTTAGATGGATAATGGGGAGTAGCTGGATGGGCCAGACGGGGTGTTGGCCGGCACCGGTATTGAGTTGAAGGTGCGCATGGGGAATATGCGAGTGGGTTGTGATGGCATGGGTATGAACTCTTGTCGTTTTCCTTCTGTTTTTGAGTATACCTGACCACTTCTGGTCTTTCTTATGATATTCAGTGTACGGCTTGTCTGGTTTGTGGAGGCAGGTCCAATTCGAACCCGTTTATGTATGATGGCAGAAGTCGGTCGTGTCTGTGTCTTCTGATGGAATAACTCTGCATGACGAGAGATAAGCCCAGGGTTTTGTTAGGTGCATCTCGTTCGTAGTCATCGGGAGCTCCAGATCTCATTGCCGGTCGAGGTTCGGTGAATCATATGCGACAGCGCAAGCACCTTCGTGTTGAGAGATTCTAATTTCTTGTAGCCACTCCACCCTCCTCAAAGTCCTGACATCATGTTCTACCCTCTTTCTCGCCACTCGACAACCTTTCTCCCGATCTATAGCCAGAGACTTACCTCTGCCTGAAGATTTGTGCCCTCCACGAAAAACACAAGATCGGATCGTATGAGATTGGGTGAACGCCCCAAATGAAACAAACGCTAGAACAAACGCTGAAGAAAACGCTGCAACAAATGCTGATAAATGGAAGAAGATACTTACCCATTCGGTTTTCTCATTCCGTCTGGCTGCAGTCGTGCCTTGATGGTCGTCTCTTTTCGAATGGGTGTTTGGCACCAGGAACCTGAGCAAAAAATGGCCAGGTAAACCGTGCGTCCCCAAATGCCAAACAGGTGTGGTTGATATGCAAGTTCTGCCGGACATTGGTCGTGAAAGGTCGTGTGCTCTAAGTGCAGGTCTACCTAGTCAGTGTACATGTCGTAGGCAATTCATACAAGGATCCTTACCGCAAAGTGTCGTATAACGGCTCCTAGCAAAGGCCTCGTTCCTCAATATCCCCAACAACCTCTTGAACAGCGGCTGGCTGCATACGAAGTCGCCACAACCGAACCTCCTCAATAGTGGAGGTAGACCAAAGAGTTGGCGGATCCACTGTACCAGTCGACCTCAATTCCATCACCCTCCTTCTTCTTGACTTGGTCAACGAACCTCTGCTTAGTGTCGTTGAGAGGCTCCCTGGTAGGTACTGTGTGAAACCAAGTGCTAGTAACGATACGTTGGCTCATCTCTGCCATTTTGGTATGCAGGTATACTTTCATAATCCCCGGGAATGTCTGTCGCAGGAGTTTGCGGAACCCGTCCTTATAGAGGCTGTAGTACCCGAATGGCATGTCCACCGAGACGATGAGACGTCTCTGACCGAGCGGGCGGCCCAAGATCCATCGGTCGCATGTGTCCAGATTATCGAATCCGAAGTTGTTCAAGCTGTAGACCATTGCCGATGACTCAACGTACATTTGGCGGCATACTTTGGGGACCGCAAAAGTGGGTTGGACAAAGCTGGACGAAGTGTTCGGGCCTTGGGTCAAAGGGTGCGTAACATGCGTGAGCCTGATATCCCATCTTCGAACGCATGAGTAATCATGGATGTCGACTTGATGATAGCCAACAGCATACTGCCAGATCTTGTTGCGGATTTCTGCCGGAAGACTGAGAAGCGGAGACTGGATGGAGTTGGCTTTGGCGCTGTTGTGCGTCAGCTTTCATAGGAGGCAGATCGTGGAGTCGCATCTACATCTTCATCAATTCTGAGCGAGCAGGAATCTCGGCTTTCATCAACCCGTTCATGTACCTGCGACCAGGTTGTTTGGGCTTGCGGACTGTGGGATCTTTCTTCTTGACGACCTTTGTACGTTTCGAGGAAAGCGTGTGATCTTTCGGCGCCGCAGAGCGGGTGGGCAGTTCGGGTGAGCCCATACTTGAAACTCGATATGGTCTTGCTGGGTGTGAAGAGAGCGTGTGGTTGAAGGAGAGCAGACTCAAGAGAGCTCGATAACTGCAAGATCGGAGACGTCCGCATAATGGGCGATGAAATGAGCGATGAAAAATGAGACATGTGCGAAGATTGGTCGAGATGAATTATCTGCTTTGAGACTGGTGAAGCCAGTACATGACCATTATGAAAAGTGATGGTGAGAGGAACGACGGGCTGCCGGCGCCGATGACTAACGCTTATCTAGGAACCTCACCGCGTCTCGAAGGTATCTGGCACGGTGATTGCTGGTGATGCAACTGCCTGCTCTTGTATCAAGAGATGATGCAACTCACCATGCGTACATGTAGTGTCGGCATCCTCATCTGCGACCTATGAATGTAACGGACACCACGAGTCTTCGCGCTAAGGTCAATGAGAGACAGTTCATCCATCGTGCCGTGAAACTCTCTGCGATGAAGTCCTTGGGTACCTAAGCGGGATGTCATGCAGGGCTTGAGATTGGAGAACCATAATTGAGCGGTTGAAAAGACTTCGGTGGAGGCATCTTCAGATATAGTCTAGCCATTTCTGTATCAAGATGACGTCAGAGAACTTGCTGTCTCCCACCTCTGCACCTGGGCAGAATCCGGCCATGTCCATAAAATACAGTAACGACAAATATGTTGTGCTGTCACCACATCTCATTTGTAACCCCCTTTTGGCAGTCATCGCCGTATCCAATTCTTTCAGACCCCCCGGAGGATATTTGTCCCAGCAACACCGACATGTGTGTACTCCGTAACGACAATCTTCAGGCCACTCCTCTCCCTTTGCAACAGTACTTTAGTCCTCTCCTGAATATCCTGCTCAATCTGGTCGGCCGACCAACCATTCATTTCGCAAGAAAACCGGGCGTTCCATAGGTCGACGTAAAGCACTTCAAGGTGTGGGAATAGGTCTGTGAATCTGCAGGATGACTGCTCGAAGTATGCTCGTTCAAAAGAAATTGGAGTCTTTAGCACCTTGATTTGCCGTAACTGTATGGGGAGGCGGCTTGATGTCCAGATTCTCAGGGCGTTCATTGACGTGAAGCCGAAGGAGTTCAGGGCGTATGGTAACAAACAAGTCTCGTCGTACATCTGTCTGCAGACAAGCGATAGTAACGGGTACGATTCCGCTTCTTCATCTTCTACAAGCGCCTTGTTCAGTCCCCCGTAGCAGACTTTTGTTCTCAAGATGATATCCGCAGTCAGGGTGAGGACAACAAAATCGCGTATCTGCAGACATGGCTTCTGCAGAATCATGGTGAAGACAGTATTTCGCAGTTCTGCCGGCAAACGAAGGAGTGGCGACGCGCTCCTGTTTCTCTCAGCACTTCCGTGAGTTAGCTTGTGTCACCGTGGGTGCATCGTTCGTAGCTCACATAAGGCAGACAGCCAATTTGCTTGTGTTGAGGAGACCATGTTCTGTGAGACCCAGCCGTACATGGCTCTCGACTGTGTCTCCCTCTTTACAGAGGCGCATAACGGGCGGAAGTGGACTCATAAGGGGCGTGGTTGTGTCGGAAAACGGGGAGAGCGGTGTTCTTAGGTAGAAGCTCCGCAAGGAGGGTACGTCGGACGCTGAGAGTGCTACGGGGTTAGGCGAGTAGGAAGCCAGCGACCCATAGATGTGAGTGTTCGGAAGGCACGCTAACGACACGCTAGGCCTTTACACTCTGGCGTACTTTCTCCGCTCGTATTTGGGTAGCTATTTGCAGTGAAGCCATTGTCCAATACAGTCGTAACAGCACAAGATATTGCCAAATTGTTGGTATCAAGAAGATCCTCCACCTCCAGTCATTAGCGATTGCATAGGGTGCAGGTGACATATACCATATACTAATGTGCCCGATGTTCCAATGGCGTAGTCGGATGTAGCCGGACTCGTAGGTACGTACTACACCACCTAATAGTTTCCTACTTCTAGATCTCATTACCCTAGGTGCTCGATGACTGCTGCATCAGTGAAGCCTAAAGCACGTGCGAGGGGTTAAGTCAGCCGTTGCCCAGGTGACCCACACTGGTCCACTGCACCTGCCTTGAGCTGAAGGCCTGCTCAAGCTATTACTCGCTCTTTCCCACACTCAACACGTCAGCGAGACAAATCCCCAGCATCACCATGGTTCGCCGCTCTGTTCGCCTTGCGAAACCCGAAGACCGACCCCAAGACCAAATTTTCCATGATCTAGATACCGCTGCGGTCAGCGCCAAAAGCCAGAAACTCGAAGAAGCCGCGCGTGCGCGAAAGAGGCAGCGAGTAGAGCATGGAGAATCCACCTCTTCGGCAGATACCATGATCAAGGACGCTATGGCTAGGTCGGATAATCTCCGAGACGGACATGAGCCCACCCTCTACCGGGGAAGTCAGCTCAACGCACAACTCTCGGCGGATGATCCTCGCAGTGCGATGTATGTATCCAATTCACGCAGATCTCCTCTTTAGCTAATGAGATCGCAGCGTGGAACGTAATAGCTTGCAGTCTCCTCTGCTATCTCTCCCAGCAGAAGTCCGTTGCGTCATCTTCGAATATGCTCTTGGTCACCAACACGTACACATCCTCACTGACGACTACGACACGAACATCTCTGTGGATCTTCCCGGTCCAGCTCGTTTCGGTGTGGATCCGCCTCATAGACGCGAGGCGATATCCCTGATACAAGCGCGGCAGTTCCACAACTGCGTCTTTCCAATTGACTGGAAGGCCTACTATCGTACTCAGCCGTACAAATCTCGTCCATATCTTGTGTCTCCTACTATGCGGCATCAGCCGCAGCAGCAGCGATTTGAACATGAACGAGTGATCACCGCGACCAACGATCGCATGGCGCTATTCCAAGCCGTCTGTCGACAAATCTATCATGAGACTCGGTTCATTCCGTACGAGTTGAACGAATTCTCTTTCCAGGACGAGATGACGATGAAAGATTGGTTCGGCAATAGAGCGGCTGCTCAAAAGCGAGTTATCCATACGGTGTGGTTTGACCAGGAATGGCAGCGCAGTGACGCACTCTTCCCCTGGACCTACCTAGGCGCCCTTATTCATATTGGAAAGATCCATGGTGTCAAGAAAGTGTACGTGTCTGTGGCGGCTGTCGAGCATTTGTGGTCCACACAAAATCGTGGAAACTTTTCCAAGGCCAGATTCGCGGAAAATGTCCGTTCCCTTTTCAGCAGACGAGACGAACTTCAGGTAGAGTTTGTCAAGTAGATTGGTTTAGTGTGGCGTGGTGTGGTTTCTGTGCACGCACCTCATCTATCTGCTTGGCTCAATCTGGGGTTGCATGATAGCAATCTAGAGGCACCTCGCCTGTGCATCCTCAGTTGCCGAGAACAATATAAAGATCTTTGTGCATATTTAAGAAGCGATGCGTGACCAGAGTGCCTTGCTGCATATATTATTCGGGTTGCTAAGTTGCTTTGGGTGGGTGTTCACAGAATAGCTTCTCGACTGGCCAGCCTAAAATGCATCTCCTGCTAGCCCTCTCCGCCCTCGCTGCAACGGCGCAAGCTCATTGCAAGTTCACTACAGTGTAATCGGAAGAGTTGAACTGACTCTCAAAAGACCGCTTCTCCAAGCTCATCCTGAATGGCGTGCCCGAATCGGCGGAGTGGACTTCAATCCGACAAACGAAGAACTACCAAACCAACTCGGGTGTTACTTCCGTTACTAGTCCCGACATGCGCTGTTTCCAAAACCGTCCTGGAACGGGTACTGCCGTTGTCGCTGCTGGTGATAACCTCGGCTTCGTCGCTGAGACATCGATCACGCACTTCGGACCAGTGCAGTTCTATATGGCGAAAGTACCAGATAGTGCGAATGTCAATACGTGGGAGCCGGCGGGGAACGTTTGGTTCAAGGCGGCGAGTATCAGCGCGGTGGGAAGCCCATTGACAAGTGGGGAGAGCACATGGCCTGCGTATGGTACGTCTTCATCTCCCCTCCCGGTGGTTTCCTTCCGCCTTCAGTTGCTAACCCTGGGGCAGGAAAGTCGCAAGTACAGTTCCAGCTCCCTAAGAACGTGCCGAGTGGGAAGTATCTTGTTCGTGTAGAATCCATCGCCCTCCACCAAGCTCAGTCAGTCGGTGGCGCACAGATGTATCTGTCTTGTGCGCAAGTCGAGATTACCGGCGGTGGTAGTGGACAGCCTGGGCCTGTGGTTGCCTTTCCTGGAGCATACAATGCAAATGATCCTGGCCTGAGGTGGTCGTACTATCCGATCGCTACGAGCTACACTGCGCCTGGACCTGCTGTGTGGCAAGGCAATTGAGCTGCTCCGGAACTGGTCGAAACGATGGGTTGCGCGGGCGATGCTGATGCGGAAGGTGTGAGAACATGTGCTGTGGGATCCTCCCTTTCGACAGAATCTTTCCTCCATGAGTGGCCTTCTGCCTGAACCTCTTCTTCTCCCGAGCTTTTTGAGATCGTCATGCCGTACATTCTTTTCATACCAGATATCGCTCCTGTCTCCGCTTCTCTGCCTCCTCTTTCTTAGCCAGCACAAAGGCAACCTCAGACCCAATAGCAACTACAACTGTTGCTGCAATCCCAATGCCAGTTCCAATAGCCGCAAAGCCCAGAATGGTAAAACACGTGAACCCTGTGAAGATAGTGAGGTACATGACACGAAAGAAAAGTAGGAAGAGGCCGTCGGGTCTGCGCTTCATCGCGTGTGAGTGAGATGATTTTCGATGCCTCAGGGCGTTCAAGATATGATACTTCTGAGGTGCTGCTATTTTGATCGTCTCGAGGCTGGGCTTCCGTTTTGGGATACGAGGTGATGTTTGATGCTGATCTTAGCTGGGCAGCACGGCCATTGAATTGTGGGGATGCGATTCCGCGCCAACCGAGCGATTGTGCACACGAAGGGAATAGCATCGTACCACAACGATCAAGTTGTTGATAACGCCTATGACGAGGTGAAGCGCAGTCATCGCGGGGGCGTCAAAGCCACGTGACATG